CTCCAAATTCTTTTTACCTCCGCCACTGGTTGAGCTGTTGAAGAAGTACCCTCTGGAGAATATGATGACTCTTAAAGTTAGGGTAGTTGTTGCTTTTTCACATGCGTCACCAACTAACAATCATGCCTTTACGTCTTGAATTATTGGTTATAGTTCCCTTCATTGCAGACTTTGGAGACTAGGGTACAAATCACAACATAGGCAAAATGTTTAGGTGATCTCTTTCTATTTGCTTAGGTTTTGTGGACATAGTTACCTTGTAACCATACTAGTAGGAGGATACACGTAGTTCGGATTGTGGAGGTTTGCGCAAATTGTCCTGAACACTAATGTTATCCAAAAAGAAAGAAACAACATATACCTCCCTTCGTTGCATACCCATGTGAAGAGCAACAGTTTCCTGGGTGCTTTAAATCTCCATATTGGCATTCATATGTTTTTTGTCACATCCTAAGCTAAGAGATTATAATTAGACTTCAAGAAGAACTTTGGTGAAAATCTCTTCTGAATACAATCTTATCTACTTCCTTGCATTGTGTAAAGTTATATAGCTTGTGGAGGACTCTTTCTGCCCTCAGTTCCAATTAATAATCTCCACAATTGTGTCTTCCTTTGTATTTGCAATGGAGCAAAGGTGAAGGAACTCGTCTTTGTGAACGGTATTACCACTCTAAATGTTAAGCAGAATGGACCATGTCTCCCATTTCTGGAAATCAATTTAAAATATCTTGAGTCATCCTTTCTCTCCTCACGATTCCTTTCCATAAGCTTGTTTCGTTAACAATAATCCCTCTCTATTGAGAACCATCTGTAATGGGTGCAGCCGTACTTTTATTAGTCACTTCCACTCACAGAGCCTTCTCCTAATTCATGAACCTCTATACCATTTTCCTGATAGTGCTCCGTTAAACATAAGACAATCTTCGCATATCCATCCCGCTATTGTTGACAGGGGCTATGACTCTCCGACAATTTACCCAATGAAAATTTCCACCTCGATACAATCCTCCAACTTTCTCTTTTTTAGACAAAAGATACTGGTTCTTATTAGCCACTGAAGGTGGGATGGGAAACAAACACATGAAGCATGGAGGAATGTTCCCTTTGACAGGTACTATGCTAAGTTGCTCGGACTTGGGTGCGAGTGTCCGATATGGGTGTGGATCTAGAAGTCGGATCCTTCATGATCTGGTTTTTAAGATTTGGGGATATGGATCCATGTATGGACACGGGTGCGGAGATTCGCCTAAAAATAATATCTAAAAATAGAGTTATAAAACCTAAATTATGAGATATTATGTGGAGAACTTAAGGAGAATCTTGGAAGGAGATTAAAGGAAAAGGAGTGACGTAGAAATTTCTATATAAAAGGTATTCCATTTTCTTCAATTTCACCTTAGCTTTGGTATTGATTATAGGAATCATTAAAATTGTCTAGGCTTTTCCCATTGATTTTGGTCAAAGTACCCAAAAGCCGTTGACCAAATTGGACACGGATCCCACACCCACACCCACACCCATGTCGTGTCCACACGGGTGCGGCACCAGAAGTGAAGAGTCCGAGCAACTTAGGTACTATGTATTGCTTCTTCCGTCCTTCCTATCTTTTCCCAAACTCTTGCACCATTTGGTTCCTAAAGCTCCCTTGTTGATTTTACTGCCTAAGGGAAGATTCAAGTATTTTCTTGGAAGCTCATCTACATTGCATGCCCAAACGCGGTCAGTCAGAGGGATATTCTTCACCTCATCAATCGGATGGTTTACTTAAATGCCACTTAATTTGATGATTGACAGTGGAAATACATGTGTATGTAAAGACCGAAGTAGCCACCGTAACATTTTTATATGGATAAGGGTATCCAGTGTAATACAACTTATTATTATTTATTTCCTTAATGAGTTCTGCTGTTATGAGAACAACTAGTCTATAACTCTATTTGATATATTCATTCTATGTATACATTTTGCTGTAGTTCATTTTACAATTTCTGGTTATCATTGTTGATGGTGTTTTTGTTGGAACAGATGCGGTGGAAAGTTGGCGGAGAGAAAAATTGAAAGAAGCCACAGAACTTATTCATGAGAAGACATCAAATTCAACTATTTCCCTAAAGGAGGCTAGTATGTTCTATATAAGATTGCTGTTCACATTTTGTATTTTCGGTTTTCTGTTGATGTTGCAGGAAATCCTGTATCCCTAGTTCAGAGGAACTTCCAGAAAACAGATGATAAGTTTTTGTGACATTGCTTGCAGGGTTACTTGCACGAGCTTTGGGCGACAACTGGGCTGAACTGTCAGAAGAAATTGGTCTCTGGATACCCGTTCAGATCATCAATACGGAACACGATGACAAACCTGAGGGTGAAGAGGAACTTGGTAATGACATTGTTAATTGCTCAGTACAAATCCTTTCAAGTTTTTTTGTTATGGTACAGATCAATCATTCAGCTTCTCATTACCTCCCAGTTTTGAGGGAGAAAAGAATTCTTTTGCAAGCGATTTTGTTATTATTGTTATATCATTTGTCGTTTCCCCATTTTTGGCATAAATGAACAATCTCTTCTATAGAAATTGTGCATGATTAAAATTTGACCAATCAAGATTTTGTCCTCTTTATTGCAAATTTGCTCACGAGAAATAACAAACTCTGGAGAACCTGTCTTACTATAGATTCTTATGCAGTAATTTATATTCTCCAGATTACGAAGTCATAGCTGGCAAGCAGCTTCCTCTTCAGTGTCATACTGAAGTTCATACTGATTATGGTGGTGATGCTGTCAGATGGGGCCTCACACATCACAAAGAATCTGCATACGATTGTTGCATGGCTTGTTTGGATCAAGCTAAGCAAGCCGGACCTAACCAAAAGAAATGTAACGTATGGGTTTACTGCCCATCAGAGACAGGATGCCACTCTCCGGATATTTATCAACACAAGCATCAGGAGTGCTGGCTGAAATATGTAAGTTTCGCCTTTCCCTTCACAAAGTTTACTACCTTCCATTCTTGTCTTGCAAATTTGATATTCACCAGACTAAGCTGTTCTCAATTCCCTCTCCCCCTTTTCATTTGCAAATGCAGGCAGAGAATCCTAAATTGAATTTTAAGGACCGTTATCCTGAATCATACAGAAATGCGCACCCAAATGCACCAGTAATTGTTCCGTGGATGTCTGGTGTTGTTAGTGTATAATTTATCACTAACAAAATAGACGATAAGCCTTGAGATCTTGGTGTAATAGTTCCACATTGAGGCAAGAAAACTAGGATCAGTTTTCTTGATTTGCAGTTTCTATGAGAGTGCTGCTTCTCTTGTTGTTTTACAGGAAGATAGAATTTGTACCAGAATAGAACCTTTTTTTATGTATTACACTGTGATTAGCGCGGTCCTGGTATCCTTAAGGAAGTCCAGTGCCTAGGACATAACATTTTTTGACATTGTAATTGTTGATTAAAGTTTTCAGTTTATGTCAAAAGTGGATCTTAGCAACTTTTTTGGTCAATTATAATCTATGTAGTGTCTTTTGATGAACTAATGTTTTTGGCTTTCTTGATGTAAAATGTTTCTTTGAATCATTTGTTATCTTGGAACTCGTATATTGTTTACCTGCACTGGATGTTTACACCAAACTATTGATAACATGACATGTGTCTTCCACATATACTAGGTTGGTTGAGTTGAATTTGGTTAAAGAATCACATGCTTTATGGATCAACATTCCCTAAGGTCTATTTTGAAGACTGACTAGGAGCTAATTTTTTTTATTAATGGTGAAACTTGATTATAATATTCTAAACTAACTTATGGTATTTTTTTATTTTTTTTAGCAAATCTACCACTAGACAGAGCGTCTAGCGGCCTTTTATTGAAAATAAAAAGATATCAATAGGGATAAGTACAAGCAAGGGGGCCTAGGCTTTACCTTACTATTCCTAATGAGATAACAAGTCTCTACTAATTAGCAAGCATGGAAAAAATAAGAACTAGAGAAAACTAGGTATTCTATGATCATCACGGAGTTTATAATCCTCACTATGATGATATTACAAATGAGGATGCTTAAGTAATGCAAGAATATAAAAGCCAAGAATAAAGATGAGTTATCCACCTCAAACTTCATTTGATATATGTATGAACTAAAAAAGTTAGTTTGCCCGTCTAAAGTAATATGAAGTATTTCCTTCTTATCTTCTTCTTCAAATTTGTCCAAAAATAATTGATAGTTCATCACTTCTTGTTGGATTTGTTGGATCTGGATAAAGTTGTTGACACTGTCATATGATTTTGCTTCGCCAGTCGCATCGATAGATACCTTGGAACAAATTTCTCACTCACCTTAACTTATGGTATTAATTATGCTTCAAAAGGTACCGCTATAAAAAAACAAAATCATTAGGTGAATATCCTGAAAAGGAAAGAGTGTTTGGTAAAGTGAAATATTATTTCAAAAGATATTCTTGTTGATGAAATCATTTTCACCTTTTATAGCTGCAAGTTATTCCTCCACAACTATTTCAACTTTCCTCTGTATGACTTTATTCTGTCACAAACTAAGTTCATGACACGTATTGTTTGCTTTTGCCTATTTTTTTTTTACATGTCACGCCTTATAAAGTTCTTCATATTTCTCCATTTTGATATGGTATTTGCCTTCAGTGTTATGTGCACCTCATTCTTCAGAAACTTGTCAGTCTTTTTGATCTTTGTACCCTCATGGTTAAATTTATGAAATGAGAAAAAAATAGTTCACCAACATCTCATGCAATGTTATTAGAGCACATTGTGGTGAAGACATGTCTTATTCAATATCAAAATGATAAATCTCTTATACCAAAACAATCATACAAGGTAATAAACATTTATAAGTGGTCTTTGTTTGGTGCAGTGTCCTCTTCACCCTTAACTTCAGGTTGAAGTGAAAAATAATAGCCCCAAATATAGAAGCATTACTTTACCATGAAATAGAAACAACAAATAAGATATATAGAAGGAAAATTTAAATGACGTGGCAAACATTTAGATTGTATTTACGGAACATAACTATAGTTTCAATAAATTACAGAACATACATTTTGGATTCCGCAGCAAATACACATGCTGATACAATATACATTGATACAACTCTTTCACACGTTATCAGCTGACACAATATGTAATGCAACTGATACAGTTGATACCCGCCTGATATAGTTCGTTTGCCTAATACAATAACTGTAGCTGCGATTCATAATTACGCTCTAAACGATAGCTATTTGGCATAGTGGGTTGGAAGAAGTAGTCCAAGTAGCTATCAGTTATTTTCTTGAAAACTCCTTGGTTGGCTTTTTTAATGTTGTCTTCACCTTAAAGATTAAAACCCCCTTAAAAAAAAGTTAATAGAAGATAGAAGGCCACTTTCATCCAAGAATTATACAAATAAAGAATATTTTTTTACAAGTATTTAGTTCTCTCTAGATAAACCTTTTCACCTATAACACTCAAAGAATTTGATTGTTTTTTCTCCAAACATGGTGTTGTTCTCTCCTAACCAAGAAGTATCAACAAATCCTTCTAAGAGATGCAAATTCTTCTCTACAACTCTCAAGGATGCATTTGCTAATTGTCACATTTTTAAGGAAAGACATTCTAGTACTCAAAGTTTAGAGGAAGAGGATGTCATAGATGATTATGATGATGAAGAGGAAGTACTAATACTAATTTTATACTCTTAAGAGTTTCTTTTAAGATGAATGTATTTGCGATATATTCATGTTATTGTGATTTTTACATACAGGTGTTTGTGTCAATAGTGATAAGTAAATACATGGAATCGAAATGCAGAAAAAAGGCAGCTATCTCAAGTGAAAAGTTCAACTGGACATTATCTACAACAGCAGGGGATTTATTCATATCTGAAAAGCTAATGCAACAAAAAGAGGACAGTGCAGATGAAGAAGATAAGGAAGAGAGGGAGGATTTCTTATCTGTTGGGACTCGTCTTTCCAGGTGCTCAAGTGCTATCAGCTATGAGGCATTTGCTACTGCTAAGACAACGTTTTCCAGGTCTTCAAGCTTGAACAGGATTGAGTTTCAAGATATTCCGAGAATTTCTGTTATTAAGGAATTCTCTCACTGTGAAGGATGGCCATTTGGTTTAAGCCGTAAAATGTTGTTACTTCCTCCTTTGCCAAAATCTCCAGCTGATTCTTGGTCATGGAGAAAGAGTGCTAGAATGATCAATATACACTAATTTCTGGCATTCAGAAGAATCAGAAGGAATTTTTTTCCAGAAAAGAAAGGATGTTGATTTTCGTTTTTCATGTATTCACTATGTTTCTTTTTTTTTGAGATAAAGGTAACTGTGTATTCACAAAAGGCTCATCATCAAATAAATGATGAGCATAGGTCACTTACAATCTCATCAGAGCATATCAAACTACCCTATGGGAGATTACAAATTACCTATGAAGTCATCAAAAAGTTCTATATCCCCCATCATATCTTGTTTACACCAAAAGTACAAAAGACTAAGGCAATTCATTCTAATTTTCTGGATGTTGTTTCTCTTATCCACAAAGCATCTTCCGTTCCTTTCTTTCCATAGGGACCACCAGATGCAGGCTGGGATTAACTCCCACCAATCTTCATTTGACTCCCTTCTTCCTATCTCCTTCCAGCTGTAGAGCAAATCCTTAGTGGACTTTGGAATTGCCCAGCATACACCAAGAAGACCAAGAAACATGTTCCACAAGCTTGTAGCTACTTTGCAATGAAGGAATAAGTGACTATTAACTTCTGCATCTTGATCACACATAAAGCATCTTGAGCATAATTGTCTGCCTTTCTTTTGAAGCACTTCATGTGTTAAGCAGGCCCTTTTGCACACTAACCAAGCAAAACATGAGATCTTCAATGGTATTTTTATCTTCCATATTAACTTCCATGGCCAGTTTCTGATCTGTGTTTGGCCAATATTGTATCTGCAGTAACATGACTTTACTGTAAACACACCTTTGCTTTGCCATCTCCAAATAGGCTTATCAGGTTCAGTGGAGGTGCCTGGGAAGGCATTGAGGATCTGAAACAGATTAATGACCCTCTCGATTTCCCAATCATTGAAAGCTCTCCTGAAAATGAGATTCCAACCCTGAGGGCTCCATAGTTGTGAGATTGTGGCCTTGTTTTGAGTGGTGAGCATAAACAGGTCTGGGAAGAGTGATTGCAGGCTTTCATCCCCAATCCAATGTTCATTCCAAAAATCAATTTTCCTACCATTTCCCACCCACCAATCTTCATTTGACTCCCTTCTTCCTATCTCCTTCCAGCTGTAGAGCAAATCCTTAGTGGACTTTGGAATTGCCCAGCATACACCAAGAAGACCAAGAAACATGTTCCACAAGCTTGTAGCTACTTTGCAATGAAGGAATAAGTGACTATTAACTTCTGCATCTTGATCACACATAAAGCATCTTGAGCATAATTGTTTGCCTTTCTTTTGAAGCACTTCATGTGTTAAGCAGGCCCTTTTGCACACTAACCAAGCAAAACATGAGATCTTCAATGGTATTTTTATCTTCCATATTAACTTCCATGCCCAGTTTCTGATCTGTGTTATGTTTCTTGACAATGGTTATAACCATTTTTATGCTTAGCATACTTCAGAATCTGTGTTGAATGGTTCTTCCATGTCCTTTTTTCTTCCATTTTTCGGCATTAACACCAATCAAAGATGTCCATGGATGCAGGTTCTATGTTTCAGTAACACGAGGTATAACCATGTTCGGTAAACAAGCAACTATTACTATGGGTCAACCTCAAGCTAGTTGGGTTGGCTACATGGCTATATGAATCCTCATTGTCCATGTCATGTGAATTAAGCTCAGCGTATATAAACAACTTAAAAGAAGCAAAGCAAATTCATCAACTATCCAGAGAATTTGATGTAAAAGAACACAACAATTGAAGAAACAAAGATTAGAGCTTTCTGAATATTCAAGAAAGTATTTCCTTGCATAAGTTTTTAGGATTATTATCATTTGCCTGTTGTAGTAATCACATGATCAAACTTGAGAATCAAGTACAACATAATGTATCATATTGGAGCAACCTGTATTATCTAAAAAAAACAACAGTTTTCCAAGTGATTGAAGACAAAAACATGGTGGCTTTTCTGCCATGATTGAAGGGCTATGCTCTTTGCTCAACATAAGAACCAGCAAGTCCAGAAGTCCCAAGTACCGTAACCTGGATTCAGAAAGGCGGACAAAACAGTGAGAAAACAAATAATGGTAACAGGTTCATCCATCAAGATACCTGAGATTATTATTTTGAAAATGCAACAAAAATCTTCAGGAAACATTTTGTAAAATGAATTCTAAAACTACCTGCAGGATAAGAAAGTTGGTATACGTTTCTAGTAAAAAAATTAATGGATGAGAATATTGAGCACATGAACGTTTATATTAAAGGCACAATAAAAGAATCATGAAAAACTAGTCTATGTACTTAAGAAGTCGTAACCTACAGAAAAGCTGAAATTCACGCAATCAACTAGCTTCAATTAGATGTACCTTTCCCCATGCAGCATCGAGGCCACTGCATCGCATCTTTAAGTGTATCATCCTAGTCCCCAGCTCCATCTCAACTTTCTTCCTCAAATATTCCTCCTCTGGCCCAAAGGCACTCATGTATGCGTTGTAGCGTTGAAATATTGTGTGCAGTGCATCAGAGAATTCTTTTGACAAAGGCTTCACATCCTGCCAGCAATATGAGTAATTTAAACAGCAAGAACTTGAGAAACTGTATGCCAACCCTTTGTTTCATTTACTCGACTTACTTCACCACTTAAACCGATAGCATCATCGATATCCATTTTCAGAGATGTAAGAATCCCAGTGAACTCCTCAACTGCCTCAGCAGCACGGAAAACATTCGCCAAAGCTTCCTGGCCAGCCTTGTCGTCAGTAGTTTTGGACAGTGCATTCTTTGCATCATAGACGACAGGATCTGGGAGCTCATGCCAGCTTGCAGCCATCAAGTCTTTAAAAGCGCGTTTGACCTCCGAATCTTCTATCTTAGGCATGTGAGTTACATCCTCACTGAAAGAACGCATGCTTCCCATTGCCATTGTGAAAGGATGCTGACATTCTAAAGTTAAAAAATATCCATGTAATGTCAAATTCCTGATGCAAGATCATGAAATTAATATAAAGAATAGGAAACTACAAGCACTTCGCGGGTAAGGTGATTAAGAAGCTTCTCGTTTTGCAGATTCACCTCCTATAAAATATGCTTTGGGAAACCTAAGAAGTAATCATATAAAGCCTGTTTGCACTAACAATCCTAAATATGTCACAGTAACCATGAGTTATAAATAACGCATTCGAGAATACAACTCCTACAGGTTCTTGAATCCAACTCCACTGAACCACGTACCTGAACTCTTACATTTATTAAAACTCCAACTTTCACAGGACAACTTAGTTGGTAGTAATTGGACACCATAATATAAGTGTGCCAGCAAAAGTTTTGTTTGTTGGATGAGGATTATGGCCAGAATTTTATTAGCTTAAGGAATCTGATGCCCCTCAAAAAAATAAAATTACACCTATTTTTATCATCACATATACGCAAACAGCACCCATGGTAGATAAGAATAACCTAATGATTCCACAATCAGAAATGACAAAGCAGAATTAGAAATACTAAAGAGAGCTGAAGGATGCATAAGCTAAAAAGTACGGTAACACTAAACCCTTGATAAATTAAGGCAGGAGAATTGAACATTCAAGTGAAGAAAAGAGAAATGAAGCTTCAAACCCCCTATATTTTGTCACCACTGTTGACCAAAGAAAAAACCTATTTTTAAATCTCCCTGAGCTAACATATGATTCAGGTGTCTCAATCAATCAATCTCAAACTACCTCGACTTGTATGCATGCTCTATTCGAATTTGGACCAATTTCATTTCAATACTAAATTCTTTCTCAAGTCAAATTAGGATTTTTTTAAAACAGGTTCACCAAATCTCCCACTTATCCAATACCATTCATGTACAACAACTACATACCCGGTATAGTACCGCAAAGTGGTGACTGAGGTGTATAGAGTGCACGCAGACCTCACCCCTACGGCACTACCTCAGAACTAGAGAGAGACTGTTTCTAATTGACCCTGAACTCAAGGAAAAACAGTCCAAAATACCATTTATGAGTATCATTAAAAAAACCATTAATCCAATACCATCAAAGTTTGCAGCTTTGGTACTTATATGATGGATTAATTGAAAATACCCACACTCAAATGAAAAATCCTACCAATATAAACATCAGATTGAAAGCAGAATCACCGATTCAAAATCTTTCCATAAAAAAACGGATACCCATTAACCAAATTGAGCTGAATAACATAATCCGATAACAAATTCAACAAGGATAAGCAGATTTGAGAATGCCCAAATAAAAAAGGAAGATGGTGCTAGTACCAGTAACAGTGTTTCTCGGAGAAGCTGAGAAAGACTGGGGTGAGAAATGGAGGTGGCGGAGGGACTGGTGGTTGACGGCGGAGGTTGTGGCGGCTGCGGTGGCGGAGAAGACCGTAGATCTGCGGCATATCGATCGATACAAAGATCGCATCAGCACCATTTTCTCCATTTCTCTGTTAACTTTCTGGTTTCTTCTTTGCTAAATGGGTCGTAGGTTTCCAGCAAAAATTGAAATTCTCCTTGTTATTATTATTATTTTAATAAATTATTACTAATAAATTACAAAAATTAATTATAATTAATTACACATATTATTGTTTATTAATTTTTTTTTTGTAAAACACATTTTCTTTCCTTCAGTTGCAATTATTGTACCTAATTCCAATAATAACATTTTTATGATTAAATGGTCTAAATGTTTTTTTTTAATCACAACAATATTGATAGCTTTTTTTTTTGCCAAACACTTATACAGACCCTCAAACTTGTCCCTAAATTTCATTTTGACACTCTAACTCAATCTTGTTCCATTTTAATCTTTTAACTCCAATTTTTATGTTTCATTTTGGCACTTCTAAGTCATGTGGCAGAGTGTGTGCATCACACTTTCTCTAAGAGAATGAAATACAAAAAAAGTATTTTTTTTTTTAAATAATAAAAGATTAATCCTTCAATTCTATTTTTTTTATGTACCATTTAAACACAAAATACTAATTTTATGATTTATTTATTTCTATATAAGCTCTTCAACTATAATTTTGCATTTTAAAAATTGTCGTTCATCCATTAGTTATTGTAAAAAATTCAAATTGACGGATGATCATTTTTTTTTTTTTGAAAAGTAACA